GGCGCATCCAGTTTCGCTGGCCCTGCTGAATGCTCAGAATATTCTTCATTACGTAAAGCTCAAACTTGTCGAAATTCTTGTCAATCGCGGCGCACAGCAGCGTCTCCAGCTTGTGGACGCCGTCGACGATCTCAAGCTTCGCCGTCTCCTCGACGTCGACAACCTCGTCCACGGACCGTTTCTTCTGCTTCAGCGCCTTTTCGAACCCGAGCGCTTTCGGAGGCGCCTTCGAAAGACCCTGCTCGACGCGGTCGAGCGTCTTGTCGGCTACGGCGTTGACATTATTGATGATGCTGTCCAGCAGCGACTGAGAGGAGGTGTAAGTTCTGAGGCCTCGCGTAATTTCAGTGCCAATGGTAGACTTACAATTGGTGCGTATCCCAGATGTTCTGTCAATAGTTCCACGTCAATCATCGTGCGCTGCGCCATCGTGTTCAATCGGCTGACTGGTGGGCTTGTCGGGGAGAGGTTCGTGGTTAAGTGGGCGGACAAAGTGCCATCTCCAAAGACGCGACGGACGCGACGGAAGTCAATATTTGGTAAGGCACATCGACCGAGGGGTCTGTTCCCCCGAGAATGGGGGAGGGGGAAGAAGGCCTGAATCGCAAGGCGTCCAGCGGGGGGCCACCCTCCCCCAAATTCCCAGTCCAGCGGCCCAGCACGGCGACACCCGTAATTTTAGCGATTTCGATAGCGGGTAACACTGCCACGCACCTCGGGCGACGTCACGCAGGAAACCAGGATGGAGCGCTGACAGAGAGCCACCGCCGGGGACGACGCAATGCGAGCCTCCACCGGTGCTTTTTACATTAATTGCACAACCTGCCGTCGACAAAATCTCCCCTTTCCACACGCCAAGGGCACGAGTCAACAGCAACACTTCTTCCCCCTTTCCCTCTGTTCGGCCCAGCCTCTGCAATAATGTCGTCGAACTTTGGAAATTTCATGAAGAATGGCTGGCACCCCGAGAAACCGGGCACCACCTTCAAGGGCCAAGTGGTATGTCACCGGGCGGGCATCTCTGCAACTGCCACGGGAAACTGACCAGACACACGACAGAACGGCCTCTTGGGAAGGAAAACGGAGAGCGACAGAGAGGAGCGCGTCGCCAGACCCCTATCGTCCCTCACAGACCCCTCAACCTTTGCACCGCCGCCGAAGCGTGTCCCGGGAACAATTGCACCCCCGCCCCCGCCATCACGTTCCAACGCAGCATCGCCTGGCGTACCACCGCCGCCGTACGACGACTCGAACCGATACCAGCAGCAACACGAGGAAGGTGTGGAGGAAGAAGCGGCACCGCCCAAGCCGTGGCGCACAGATACCACAGGCCTCTCAACCGCCCATCTGCCGCCCCCGCCGGGAAGAAAGGATGGCGCCGACGGACGGACGCCGGTGCCGGGTCAAGCCGGTGCCGCACGGCCGCCGCCCCCGAGCTTACCACCGAGACTGCCGCCCAGAACACCCTCCGCTTCGTCGGTAGCTCGGCCGGCGTCGCCCGCATCAGCACCACCACCGGCGTCAAGCAGCGGCGGCGGATACCTGAACCAGAACGCGATGAACAGACTAGGAGCAGCAGGCGTATCTGTATCCGCACTAGGCATCGGAAAGTCCGCGCCCGCACCACCGGTCCGATCAAACGCCAGCAGCCCCGCGCCACCTCCCCGGGCCGGAGCCTTCTCACCGCCGCCGCCTCCGCCTACCACCAGCAGCAGCGCCAGCGGGGGCGGTCACATGAGCGAGTTGCAAAATAGATTCGCCAAGCTGGGCAAATCCGCCGCCACCAACCATCAATCCTCCACCCCGCCGCCGACAGAAGGCACCACGACAGAGCAGAAGCAAGCCGCGCTGCGCACCGCAGCCGACTTCCACAAGAACCCGTCATCAGTCTCCGTCTCGGACGCCCGGTCCGCCGCGTCGACGTTTAACAACTTTCGTCAGCGGCACGGCGAGCAGGTCAAGTCCGGGTACCAGAGCGCCAACAACTTTAACCAGAAATACGGCATCACGGAAAAGGCGGGAAACTATGCCGGAAAGGCAAAGAGCTTCTACAACGACCAGGTCGGACAGAAGCAGCAGGCCGGGGCTAATGCGGACACTACTACAACCACGGCACCTAGTCCGGCGCCGAGCCCGCTGTCACCTCCGCCTGGGCTGGTGAGCGCAGTCGGAAAGAAGAAGCCGCCTCCGCCGCCGCCTCCAAAGAAGAAGCCACAGCTGGCTGGAGCACCGGCACCACCGCCGGCGCCTTCGCCTCGGGACGACGATGATGCACCTCCTCCGATCCCCTTGGCAACCAAGCCGACGTTTTGAGCTGGGCAGGCTTTTTGGGGTGGTGTTGGTGGTGGATGAAGCTGGCTGGTGGGCATCACGTACGATTCCGAGGCTGAGTTGGTGCATGCATTTCCCTCTGCAGTCGGCCAATGCATTCTGCGGCGTTTTGTTAATGGTCGGACTACCTCACATTGCGGGGTAGTATCAAAATAAAAATCGAACCACTTTGTGGGAGCATCACTTTCAAGTGTTCATATAAAATGAAGCTCGTCGAGCAAGTATATAGGGCAAAAAAGTTGTTTCGTTCATATGATCATAAGCACGGCCGACGCCGGGTGTGCGCTTTTTATTTTTTTGCTTGCTACGGGGGCTTTTGAAGGGATATATGCCAAAGCAGATGGGTGGTACGCTATAGCAAAGGTGTTTTTCTTGTAAGACGTCAAATTCTTCGGTCTCCAAAACAAACACCGACAAAATCTCGAGAAAAAACAACAGGGAAAGAACTGATTCCGTGTCGAGATTTAAACCTTCATGCCCTCGAGGCCGTGCTGCCAGACGATGATGTAGGGGGTGACACCATCCTCGCGGTAGTTGAGGAGGACGACCCTGTCTACAGGTTAGCATCATTTGGGCGGGTCTGACGAGGGAGGTCTTGGAGAGGGAGGTTTTGCTTACATTCCATCGGGGTTCATCGACTCGCCAGTGTAGAACTCGAAGTCCTTGAAGTTGGGAAGGAGGGTCTCCTTGACGTACTTCTGGGCACCCTTCTCGAAGGCGGTGATCTTCTCGGCGGGGGCGTTCTTCTCCTGAAGGGCAGTCTTGACAGCCTTCATGTAGCCTAATTGCGGAGCTTGTCAGTACACCAATAATGCCTTTATTTATACATGAGATGGTTTCACACACCCTTGAGGTAGCCGAGGAAGCTCTTCTTGTCGAACTGGGTGGACTGGAGGCGGAAAGAGTGGACAATGTTGTTGACCTTGATCTCGGCGTCCTCAGTACCCTCGTCAGCCTCCTCGGCGGAGGCGTTGGCGCCGGTGTCTGTGCAAAAGTCGCTTCTGTCAGAATGTTGTTTTTTCTAATGTATGTTTCGATGTGCTTGGGAAGCGCGCGGGGTAAGCGCCCAGCGGGGAGGGGTGACATGGGCGGATGGGTGGTTCACGAACCGACGCTGACGGCGCCCTCGGTGATCATGGCGCAGTCGGCCTCGAAGACAATGCCATCGATGTCCTTGAGGTCGTAGGAGTCCGAGATGATCTCGTCTCCGGTAATGATGTCCTGTATCGCGGTTGTTCGGTCAGCATATTGAAACTGATCCTCATCTTTAAAACATCAACATTTTTTTTCAACCCCCCAGCCGTCCAATGGCGGGGGATTTCCGAAGGAGGGGTAAAAACAGCTATGCCTGGCTGCACAAGTCGTCCACAGTCCTTGAGAGAAGTGGTCTGGCAATGATAAATTAGACGTACCTTGTAGATAATCATCTTGGCGGTTTGTCTGAGGTGTCGAGGAGGTGAGGTATTGGCGAGACGGGAAGTTTGTTGTCTGGGTCTGGAGAAGTAGAAGGAACGAGCAGAAAGGAGGGGGGTCGCTTTTGAAGGGCGAAAAGTGTTCGCAAAATTGGCAAGTGGGAGGGACTGTGTTTGGTGGGGTTTTCTGAGCTAGTCTTGATTTGGGTTGGCGGCAAAAAAGCCAGGCGGGTTCCTGTATCCGTATTCAAAGGCTGTTAGTGCTCAAGCCTTTGATCACCGCCAGATCCCTAACATCATGGCGGGTTACCCGCAGGGCGAGAACACTGAAGGTACGGGACGTGGGACCAGAGCCTGAAGAGATGTCAACCCGATGAGTTTCGGCTTTCAAGGTATCCTGCGACAGTATGGTATTTTAACGTTTTTTATCTGTATCTCATCATTCAGGTGAAGATACAGTGAAGCAATTAATTTCACTGGGCTTCAGATGCAATGAGCATCTTCAAGCCTGTGGCATTTTCTCAGCCAAGACTGGATGATCTGGGGCATGTGGTGTTGATTTTGGCGAGGTGAACTGGATGTCTTACCTAAGCCGTGGATGGAATCGAGCCCTTGACGGCGCCGCTGCCGCTGAAGGGCCTTTTACGATACCCACCGCAGGTCGTGGCTTAATGGGATTGAAGCTGGGATAGCCTCAACTACGTTCTGCGGCTGGTCGAGAGCGGTGAGCCCAGCCCAGACTCACACCAACCAGTTCTTCCGGGTCACATGAACACTCCTGACGTGTAACATCGTCTGGTGTTTTATGATGAGCCCGACACATGGATTGGGAGTGGGATGGCATTCATGATCAGGGACCGCCCTTGAGACAAAACAATGAAGTTGATTCTCCTTTGTCAGCACTCCTCGTCACCTTTCATCATCCTCTCATTCTTCACTCGTCCTTCTTGTTGTTTTGGTCTCACTGATAGGCTTTCTGTACTGCTGTTGAATCATCTGGAAAGAAAAAAAAAAGGGGGGCGCTTATTCGAGCCCATAGTGGGCGCATCATGCTTGTGAAATTGCCTTACGGTTTTACCTAAGCCCCCTCTCTTGGAGACAACACCATCTGGCGCTTGGCACTCGATCGCATCGCGGTAACACGGGCTTACTTAAGCTACCGAAGCGTCCGCGTGTTTACGGCATCGACAGGGGAGGGCCCGGTGGCCTGACACGGCAGCGTAGCAAGCCGCACATGGTTAAAGAGGTGATGACAGCATGGGCAAGCCCGCAGAGCCCGCCGCAATTTTCGCGACCAAACCCGTGACGGGTACTCAAGGCAAGTCTGTCCGTGATGAAAAGAGTCTGAATTGCAGGCCCACGAAGAAGATTTGATACAGGAGAGGCATCGCGCTTGACGTATTGTTGACGATTCACCAACCGGATACCGCGGCCGTGGATATGGACTATTACCACAATGGTAGTCAGGTACAACTGACCAGGTCGAAAGGCCGAGGAGACAAGTGAACAGTTGTGGTTCGATCTGTGGCAAAAGCCGGGAGACTGTCGAAAGGCGAGAGGCCCGCGCCTTTTCACAAGCGAGATTGATAAAAGCGCATCATTCCTGGGCCTGGGAACCCGGCGCGGCGACGCCTGCGTAAGGATACCTACCTTAGTACCTAGAGTACGGATATTTGCAAGAGATCTACTACTGCGTGCTCCGTAGAGGGAGAAAAAATTGCCCCGTCGTCGCCGCTAATCAGACTCAACTGGGTATCCGTACAATCCACAGACCAAAGGTACCCAGATAAACTCCATTTGTACCTGCTATCAGGCGCATTGAAGCACCGCATGCACCGGGCGCGCAAGTCACTCCAGTCAGCGAATACTTGCAACATTTTGGGCGCATTGCGAACAAGGGCCAATGCTAGTCCAAGCTAGTGAAACCTCGAACCAACTCGCCACCAGTCTCCCGACGTCCTCTTACTCACTACCAAACTACCTACTACGCATACTACTAATTACAGCTCGCCCTGCTGCTGCTGCTGCTGCTCTGCTCCGTCTCAGCCCTGTGCTGTGCTTCGCTCTCTGCTTTGACATCCTCCACCCTACCACCATCCACCCACCTACCTGGCACAGGCAACCCCCAAGGATTGGCATCTCATATATCCAACTTCCGTCCGCTCCTTACAAACCGCCTCACCCGCCACACGAACCCGTCACTCCCTACTTTCTTATTTCAATCTGCGTTCCTCCGATTCTTCGCCTTGAGACGCACGCGAGCATACATCTCAATCCTCCTCTGACCGACGCAATCGCTAATCCCACCACATCCGAACCGACCGAGCAAACGAGAGAAACCGCCGAACCCGAAAACCCGCCATGGTGAACGAAACCATCCCACCCACGATGGCGGCAAACTTCACGTCGACCGTAGGCGACCTCCCGCCTCTGCCGGAATACACCCTCAAGCCCTATGCCGACCTCATTCCCGGCCTGCCCGACGTCTACCTGCGCATCTTCCTGCCCATCGTCGTCTACTGGATCCTGTCCCTCTTCTTCCACGTCATTGACGTCTACGATGTCTGGCCGCAGTACCGCCTGCACACCCCCGAAGAGATCACCAAGCGCAACCACGTTTCTCGCTACGAGGTCGCCCGCGACGTCCTCCTCCAGCAGCTCATCCAGGTCGGCATGTCCGTCTTCCTCGAGTACATTGACGAGGAGCAATTCACGGGCAAGGAGAACTATGACGTCGCCGTCTGGGCCACCCGCGTCCGCGTCGCCCAGCGCGCCCTGCCCACCATCCTCGGCCTGCTCGGCCTCAACGCCGCTTCCCTCGCAAAGAACATGTCCGCAACGCACCCCTTCATCGCCGGTGCGCTCGCCGGCGGTCACTACCCCTTCCTCACTACCGAGCTCGACGGATCGCACGCCGTCGTCCCCGTCTTCGCCGCCTGGGAACTGCTCGTCGCAAAGGCAATCTACTGGCTCGTCATTCCTGGGTTCCAGCTCTTCGCCGCCATCTCTATCCTTGACACATGGCAGTACTTCCTCCACCGTCTTATGCACGTAAACAAGTGGATGTACAGTGAGTTATGACCCAAATCCTCCCCCGACCTCTCGGGACTCCGACTCGGCCGAATGGCTCCCGGGGTATTTCGGCGCAAAGGTGGCAAACAGCTCAACTAACACAACAACCTCCTAGCGACATTCCACTCGAGACATCACCGTCTCTACGTCCCCTACGCCTATGGAGCCCTCTACAACCACCCGTTTGAGGGCTTCCTGCTCGACACCCTCGGCGCGGGCATTGGCTTCCTCCTCACCGGCATGAGCGCGAGGCAGGGACTTCTGTTCTTCTGCCTGTCCACTGTCAAGACCGTCGACGACCACTGCGGCTACGCGCTGCCCTGGGACCCCCTTCAGCACATCACGAGCAACAACGCCGCCTACCACGACATCCACCACCAGACGTGGGGCATCAAGACCAACTTCTCTCAGCCCTTCTTCATCTTCTGGGACCGCGCCCTCGATACGCGGTACAAGGGCGACAGGCAAAACCGGTTGCTGGCGTCAAAGGGCAAGGGAGCCGCGGTGGCGGCCAAGTCCGAATAAAAGGGTCTCTCGGCGATATGAAATCACAACAAAACAAAACACATATAATACAACTTGCTCCCTTTTTTCGATTCTGTAAAACAACCCAACTTGCCCCGATACCACAATGCCAAAACAGTCAGAAAAGAGAAAGAAGAAAAAAGTCGAGACCGGTTTCTGAATTCACACATACAATACTTGTGGGAAGGAAAAGCCTGGTTCTTGCACGCAGTAACACAACAAGCCACCACTTTATACAATTAACTACAATTAGGGATAGCATTGGGAATGAGGCGTTTTCTTTTCATATCATGTCGAAACAATGGCACACGTTCGATTAAAGGGTTGAGAAGCAGGTCGTCCTTTTTTTTTGTCTCCTGTTTCAAGTATTGTGACCAACGAAGAGAAAGACTGGCCTGGGAATTTGTATTTTTTTTTGTTCTTCTCAGCTGTACACACACTCGCAAGCATGTGAGGTTTACTGTTTTACCCCCCCCCCCCCCCTTTTTCAAAATTTTTTTTTTTTTAAAAAAGGCTTTTGGGGCTTTCAAGGCTTGTGTCCGCCCGCCGATATCCTTTGAGACGGGGAGGGAAATTGTCAGGGCAACGAAGAATAGGAGGAGCTGGGCAGGGTGAGGGATGAGGGATGAGGGAAGAGGAGGGGGGACGAAACACATAAAGATAACCCGGCTACAACTACGTTGACTAATGGAAAGACTATAATAATTCCTTATCCTCGTTCCTAGGGGGTTTAGATGATGAATCCCTTGAGATCTTTCATGCTCTCATCTCTGAAGCGTGTACTCAGCAACCTTTTTCTGTAGACGCAGTATATGTCTTGACAAGGTGAGATTTGCATACACCATATCTCAGTTGAATTTGCGTCCATATATTGTGTTTTGTTACCCAGAAAAGTAAAGGAGTTGACCGCAGGACGTTTCCTAGCGATTCCATGTCGCTACGGGGATACTCATCCTCCTCTCACATACCTTAGGTACACATCCTCAACATGTAAGCGACAGCACCACTCTATAATTGTTGACGTGCGGCGTCTCAAACGTAGATGCAGATGGGACACAGGTACCTTATGTATAGGTAGTCAGATGCAGGACGTTGGAACTATTCGACATTTCGTACATATTACATATAACTCGCAGGCAGCAGCAGCAGCAGCATCAGCTTTGCAGCATGCAGTCACAGAATAGGGACCATCGATGTGTTTGTAGTTCATCGGAGTTGGAGAGACAAGTAACTTCCGAACGAGGGGCGATTCGGTTCTCGGTCGTCCGAACGCTTGGGGCATTATTTCTCTAACTGTCTGTCTTGAGACCTGCTTACACTGCTTACGCTGTTTGCCTGTTTGCTTGTCTCTACTGCTGCTGCACTAGACGACCCCTGATTTGACTGGATCTGTATCTTCCTGATTGAGCGTGCAAATTCGCCCCCTTGGTTGATGAGTTACCCATGGCATGAATACTCTCTACCAGTCTACTTCACGTATATTCCCACGGGCCTTGAAGTTACAATCCTTCATAGGCTCCAGAATACTCGTAGGTTCTCCACGGGAAGCAGCGTCCGTTGTAGATGACGGCCGAACGGGTATGACTGTGCCTTTAACACCCCATCATTGGAGTGCCGAGATGGGCAGCCTTGAGTGGCGAGCAAGTTACCACAAGTGACGCTATTGTGGGCGGCTTCTCTCCTTTTTTATACATTTTGGTTACTAGTAAATCTCGCGACAGGGCGATGTAGCTTTTGGGATCCTTCACCTGAGGTTAGGTACCTCGCTGCACTTACATGGCGGGCCTCGAGATCACAGGAAGGTCGTGGGTCCGAGCCGGCTTTCTCTCCCAACTTTTTTCTTCACATTTTTCAGAATGGACTGGTGTTCCTCTCTAATCATAATGTTTAATGAACATTGCGTCAAAACATATGACTCCTCGCCAAGTTGCAACTCCATATCGTCCTACGATCACGACGGCTAACATTGTACCTTGCTTTGCATGAAGAATAGTCTCTCATTGCACCGCCACGCCTGGATCAGGATCATCCGACAATCTGTTTCCTCCTGGTAACCTGGAAGGATTCTACCCGTTCGTGCAATGATATTTGGAAACAGAACAGAACAACTCACAATAAACGGGATGCGCGCACCTACACACATGCGCACACGCGCGCACATTGAAACGGGCGGCGAACTGGAAACACCAGACCGTGCCACGAAACAAAGGCATGGGAGACACCCGGGAGACTATCTCTCCCACTCACTCAACACTCGAACTCAGTGCGCGTTTGGAAAAAGACCATTATTTTTGTCATGATCACAACGACCTCCGTGCTTTTCCAGCGGAAACCCCAAAGAACGGCCAGTGGAGAGAGGCCTCATTGAGGCAGGCTGAGGCCTGATTGTTTGATTGATTTGACACTTGACAAGTCCGGGGACGTGGAGTTCGAACGGGTCAGGGCCTCGGGGAGTCGGCGCCGCAAGCTGGATGGATATCGTGGGGAACAATGCTGATCTTTCGAGTTGGGTTCACTTACACGTACCGCAATAGGCGGAATGGATATAGCCGTGCTTGTTACTCCCTGCTTGCCTGAGGTGAGCAATTACGAGATAACATCTGGCGTCTGGTATGACTGCAAATGGCTTCGTCCGGTACCACGCAATAGCAGGTCCACGGCTGCGAGGTAGTACACACCACTGCGCTTCTTCGAGCCACAATTGCAAGTTCGAGTTGGAGCGCTAAGGGTCGGGAAGTTTGAGTTAATTGTTACCCACTCCTGAAAACCAACGGCCACAGCATTGCTCCGGCGTTGCTTTTCTTGAGACATCCCACCGCAGTGTGGACACTCTCGTGATATTGAATGTCTTACAACACACTCGCTCAGGAGAACCAGGAGATTGGGTGTGAACAGGGGTTCATTCCACTCTGGCGTTGGGTTGGACCCTTAACGGCTGTTGGCTTCCAGACGTTACCTCGAGGGAGGCACGACAGCCAATGAACTGTTCGGCACCCGACGGCCCCCGGAGTTCTTAGTTTTCGACTGCGACACTGTGCCTCAGCCAGGACCTATGTGGCAAACTCCAATCTTCAGACATGACAGTTCGTTTGAGTCGGGGAGAAGCTTAGACAACCAGCGGGTGATGGGTCTGGAGAGGTCGAATGCAGTACAGACGAACTGAGGACGGCGACAAACATGTTTCCTGTGACGTGGATAGAATGGATCCGAGTCGTGAAAAAAATACTAAAGCACCAGGTTGTGGCCGCGCGCACAGTCGGCTTCTACCGCTTTGTTTGAGAATTGCAAAACAAACGTAGCTGTCGAGTCAAGTTGAGACGAGTATGGAGTCGGCCGTAACCGTTAAGCTAGGACCATTGAAACCTTGCAGTCTTTGCAGAGCGCGGAACCGAGGGGAGGATGCAGCCTGCCGGCCGAGTCTGCTATTCCCTAACACCGATTACGAAGTCGTCGCTCAGTTCGAGATTAGAGTTGTTGGGCAACCACAACTGTTTGAGGCATCGCCGATTCTGCACGAGACAAGTCGGCGGCGGTCTGGGAGTCGCTCATCACGAGGTCTCGACTCGGCGCCGCGTCGCATGGAGAAAGCATACGAGCGTAAATCGTGGTGGGTAGCCATGCTCAAGCCTTTTACGCCAGCTCGAGAATATCGAGCTTGTAAAGAGTACGACTCCAAGACGCAAGCAGGTAGATTGTGCGGCACCGCGGGCATCCGGGACGTGAGATTTAGGTAGCCAAGTCATTCCGATCCATCTTGAAAGAGCTGCCTGCTGCCCGCCCTGTGTGATGCAACCATTGCATTTGCTGCCGTCCTCTGGCCAACGGCTAGATGATGCGCCATTCGTGTACGACCAAAGTCTCCCGTTCCACCGGTACCAGAGGCGACGCTAGATCTGTGGCAGGAGGTCTCTAACGCGAAGCTATGCAATGTCAACGCTGTGGAGGGACGAGGAAGCGTTTAGCATTACAGGTCTGCTACCGGCCGCGAGAGAGAGCTGCACAACACCACAAAGGAATAAATGCAGGGTTTCTGCACCTAGTTCCTTGCGCTAGTGCCCTTCGGTGGCCGCAGCTACCTCCCCACAGCGGAGACATACCGCTTTCAATGGCTTGAACGCCTGTCACGATCCGGTCTGTATGTAGTATCATTGGTGGTGGTGGAGTGGATAGTAATGTTCCGTCGACGGACTCCAGTTCGGCGCAGGTCCGATCTGGATTGGCGGGTTCCCGATTCATCTCGATGGTCGAGAAGCGATAGCCATGGCCGTTGAACTAGCTTGGGTGAATTCAGCTGCGACGGAAGCGACTAGGGCCGGGAACGCCAAAGAGCTATTGGCACCAAGCCACAGGATACTATCTACCAGCCGGTCATCTATGAGAGAGTGAGACATTGGCGGTCAAAGGCAGCTGGACTCGGATGGAAATGGCGATTGCACCGGAACCAGTCGGCCGTGATTTGCATATCTCGACGAACGGCCATCGAGGTATGACGCCGAATGGGACCCTGCATCGGGGCAACGGACAATGCAGTTGTCCTGGGTTGCTGCATTGCTGCGTGTCCGGGTTGAGGTGGTATTTGGCCCTTGGGGATCATGTCTAGACTGTTGTCAACTTGGATCAAATCAGTAACACTGGTTAGCTGGGGGCTGCCACGTCGGTGATACCACAAGAAGATCGGCCTGACGATGAGGCCCGGGATACGATTGAATGACAGGCACGTCATTGGGGAGACATCGCGGTCGGTGGCATCATGTGAGGCTTGCTTTTCATGCTGAAATGCAGCACGGATGTCGCGGAGATTCCACGACGGCGTGCTGTTGTGTTTGTAGTGTATCGTGTGGTGTGCTGTGGAGCACCGAAGTGAGGTCACTGGTGAAATTGGCAGTGTAGGAGTCGGGTGGGCTTCGTCCAATGTCGTCGAGAGGTACATCTGGGGTCGGGAAGCATTGGTAATGAAACCAGGTATTGGCTGGGGTACACGATACACCGCACATGCGGATACAGCCAATTTGATCGATCGAGGTGTGCCGCCTGGGTGCCTTGCCTGCTGACGAATGTGCAGTGTTTGATCGCCCGCGGCGCTTCTCTCAGCATCATATTGGATGTCTGATCTGTGCTTTTCAGTACGGAGTATAGCATATATCAAGTCGGATAACGGCAGGTTGTGACGGGCGACCAACAGGGAGGGCGCGGTCTCGGAGTCTTGGGCGTAGAGGCCGACGGAGGTCGGCGTGGGGCTTTCTCGCCGTCCACAGTACCGGGAGACCGAAACTGATTGGCTCTGGGGCTGACACGGTTCACCCGCTGAGCGTTGTCGTGGAAGGAGAGGACTGGGTGATGAGTGGTGACTGCCCAGTATGACGAGTGGTGTGCTCGGGGAATAGACACGGGGGATTTGGAAGGAAGGAAGGAATACACGAAACACAAACCCAAACTGGCATCATCATCGTCGTGCTGTACCTGCCTTCTTCCACGTAGAGTAAGGTAGAGGCAGAAGGAAGGCGTGCCTGCCACCACACCTACCTACTTCTTGTACGTGCTTACTACATAAGGTAGGTAGGTAGACTTTTCAGGATGACTGACGCTCCGCGATAGTTGTTTCTCAAAGGGGAAGACGAATGCGCCAAACGAGACAGGAACGGATGCCTCTGCTCTTTCCGTTTTCCCGTCTGCTTGTCACGGTCGACATTTTGAGGCAAGAAAGGCGCACGCAAGGTGCTTCGCTCTGACAGTTTCCAGGCTGCATCCTGCAGGTACAGAACGGTGTACGTAGTATGTCATACGCACAAGCACATGCACAAATCATCAACTATCCAGGTACTGCGTGTAAGGTACACAGAGCTCTCTTCTCTGACCTTTGGTTGCCGCCAGCCGTCTCAAATGCAAATGGCTTGGCCATCTTTCGGCCGCCTCAAGTCTCGAGTCTCGACTTCACCTTGCCCTGTCACCTTGCGCCGCAAATAGAGAGATACAAAGATACCCAAACCAACACTTGGCTACGCCACGAACCAACAGCCAACCGCCGTCTTTTTCTGCTTGCGGTTCTGAGACGGTCCCAACGTCACCTTGATCAAATCGACCTTCAGGGCTCCAGTCTCCAGGGCTCCAGTCAAAAAGTCACCTTCAAGGTTGTTTCCTCGCAGCTTTCTGGCCAATCCCCACTGCACGGTACCTTACAATAACGGACCTTAATTAAAGCACATCGTCCAATAGATCCTCCCGCACGGCAACATCCCCCTGCTCCTGCACCCGGCACTCAACCTCGAACAAGGAGTCAAGCTCAACCCACATGGCCTGTCGAGCCTTTGCTAGCCCTGGCCATAGTAGCCCGCTGCATGAACTGCTACGCAGTACGGAGTACAGAGTACGGACACTCGCCTTTGCTCTTCAGGCCTCGCGAGGGCTTCAGCAGCCTCTGTCACGCTACCAACTGCGTCAGGAAAGGCCCGTCTACTTTTGTGTACAAAGTTGGAACGCCACGATTCTCCTGCCTAGGTCGCCCAACGCCGCTGTCGCCGCCTCATCTCTTCCCAATCTGGTCCAACTACCTTCACCATTGACGCCTCCTCCGACTGGGGCTTCGCGCGGGTCCTACGGAATTACCAGAGGTAGAAGGGGGCTTGCGGGCGCTCAAAGCGTCGCCAGATCGAGTACAAGGACCATTCGGTAATCCACAAGAGCCCACCACGCCTCTCCTTCAGCTCTTGTCTTTCGCTAGTGCCCGTCGAGGGCCCCTTCAAATAGACTGGGAGACCCTGGCTTGGCTCTCGCTCTTCCACTGGTCAGACCGGCCTGTTGAGCATCTCTGCTACCACCGTCTAATTATTCTCTCACCCGCGCTACTGCTTCAGCTTACAAGATCCTGGGTCCAACTCCGTCCAAGGCTCGCGAGACGTGCCCCCGTTTCCGTCCGAGGTTCATATTTATTGCAGAGCGACCTCGAAAGAAACTTCCTCGACAACTATCCCGTACCTGTCCATACACCGTACTCCGTACTCCGTCATCCTCCCACAAACCGGTCCGCCAAAGGCTCCAAACCCAACCACCAGTCCACCACCAACCTACTCGAGACGGGGTACCTGGCGACCATCTCAACCTCTAACACCCCCCCCCATCTGGGCATTTACAATTCCTCCGTTACCTCGCCTGTTTCCAAACCTAGAAACCGTACCTGCTTTGCCGTCTTTGCTCTGCATGCCTAGGGCTCGCCCGCTTGTTTCTCTAAGCGCTCGCCAGTCAGCGATCGACTTCGCCCTTCCAGATCACCAACACGGCGCTTCCACGCACATCCAGTCCCCTCCATTGGCCGCCCACCCTGTCCCTCAATTTCAAATCTGCCTCGCCTGTCCTCAACCTGGTGCTTCTCTGCGTCTATCCAGACAGAATGGGACTGCTCCTGGCGTTTCATTGATATCGAATTAGACTGTGGTATCCCAACCAACGCCGGCCAAGTCGACTTACACCACGCCGGCCGGGCCAACGTGCAGATCCAAGCCTCCTTCCCCAGCTTTACCCGTACCAACAGACGCGGCACAGCGGGACAAACATTCCATTAATTGAGACTTACACCACGCGACCCTATTTGAGTCGGGCTTCCGCCTCTTTTCTAGCTTCCCATCATGGACCCTACAACGACGCTCTTTACGTTCATGCTGTGAGTCGCTTTTTTTTTTTAATTCTTTGCAATCTCGCTTTCGTTTTCTTCTCCCGTTCGCTGGTCGAAACTTTGGCGTCGCTTTCGCTCCAAATCCAACAAGATCGATCGCCCTCTCGTTCGAACTCGCATAATTGTATGTCTGGCCAATAGCCTCGATCCCCTCGTCCCATCACGCCTCCTACATGACTCCTGCACAAGTCCCAGTACGGCCGAATGAAGCACAAGGTCTGCGAGAGTTCGCTGCCTCTCCTCATTTAGCATTCACACACATCTCTTCGGTTTCCCCAAAGGGTCGGGGAAAGCATTCGGGGACCGGCGCCGAAGGTTGTTTGCTTCTGCTTAACCGTCTGCTTGGGCTCATGTTTCGAACATTGTCGGATGGAAAAGTTTATATCGGGTTATGCTATGCCCTACCTCCCCGGCCCTGGCCTGCGCCCGTTCCTCCCCTCACACCTTCTCACCTGCCATTACCAGCTTCTCAGCGGCAACCTTCCGAGAACTCCGTCAAACACCTTGCAAAGCCAAAAAAATCGTCGCCGACGGTGATCGGCACCTCGTCCGCTCCTGGGTGGGGGACAGGGGACCAGGTCTGATGCTCGGCGCAAGCCCAGTGGCTGATGTCTTGGCTTTCGCATCATGCTTCATACCTTCTCACTTGCTCTTCATATATATTACCAGAAGCAACCCCTCTACTTCCCTTCGCTGACCATCACGACTATGTAGTCAGACTCATCCGACTGTAAGATCAGTACACTTGGTCGGCTCCTGGGACAACTTCACCAAACCATACACCATGGAACGAGATATTCGACGAGATCGCGGCCAATGGCGCGGATGCCACACTTTCAAGGACATTGTTCTGGACGACGACTTGGGTGCGAGGGATACCAAGCGCAACGGCGGCCTGAAGATGGGAAACACCTACTACTACTATGTAGGTTATCTGGCGAGGCTAGGTTGATCCGCGCACTAACACGTCTTAGTACGAGATTGATGGAACGCAAGAGTCGCACAACCCGGCACTGCCTACCACCACCAACTGCCCTTACCTTCCTGGACAGACTGTCAACACTCTGGATGTCCCTTACGAAGTGGCCGAGAGGAAGAGGAGCGCATCGTTGGGCTCGCTCCGTCCTGGTGAACAGAAGACCATGAACCCTGAAGACAAGTTCATTACGCCCAGGCCGCCACCACCAGTGCCTGGCGGTTCAATTCGAAGATTGGGCTCCGCACCGGCCGCACAATCTGGCAGATCCATTTCCCGTGCCGGCTCTACCTCCCCGCCGCCGTCTTGGCGTCGCATGTTCAACAGGAAGCCGTCCACCAGCCGGCTTGCCGAGCGCGGCCGCCAATCCGAGGATGAGGACCGCCCTCTTTCACCGTACTCTGGATCTTCTTCGGATGACAACAGAAGCGGTTCATCTGAGGGAAGCCGAACTCGCGATCTTTCCCCAGAGTCCCTGAGACGGTTCCTCTCCGATGAGAACCCCTTCTCCAGCGCTTCCTCTAGCGCATATGGGCGTCCGCCTGTTGTTATCCCCGACGACATTGCCGAGGAGGGAGACGATGATGAGAACTTTGCCAACTCGGCCTACGAGGTCAACCCCTACACGACCAGCCTGTCACCACCGCCCTTCAAACGCTCCCACTCTGACAGCACCTTGCCGGTAGTGCACGCCCCGCGAGTTCTCACACGCGAGAAGAAGTACTCGCCTCTCCCTCCTCTTCCCGTCAACAAGACGCTGAGAGACCTGGCGACGGCACCATCCGCCTCGCGCTTCTCCTTTTCGTCTGACTCCAGCGTCGCCTCCTCCATTGGCCCCATCTCTCCTGAGGATGATACACCATCCTTCTATGACTCTACCGAAGAGGATCGCTACTCCAACGAGAGCGATGCCAACTTCGTTCAGCCCTTGTCTCTTCCAAGCACCAGGAAGCCGTCTCTGGAGCAGAACTACAGCTTGCCCCGGGCTCCCGGCATCAAGGTTCACCCCGGTGTTCACACCATGGTTGCCGCCCCCACTGATAACGGCCTTGACGACTTGGTCAATGAGATGGGCTGGATGGTTGATGTCATCCGCGGCAAGGGCATCTAAACAGAAACTTACTACGCAGGTCACACTACACGGTGACTCTGCACTACCGTCGCATATATCGATGGCTAAGCACACAACCAAAGCCACCTAGACGGATTACATATCAGGTTATACAAAAAGGCGGCATCGCATCAGCCTTCCCCATTGGGGCACAGGGCTGACTAGCTCATATTCACAAAAAGGAATCGGATTTTGGACGGAGTACTGGACGAGATATACCCTTTCCTTGCCCTTCTACAGCTACTATCACTCATGGCTTTCATGCCAACGGCGCTTTATGTGGTGGACATTTTGAGGAACTCTGGGGACAATGGAATGGACATCACACAAAGGAAAAGATGGACAACGGGCAACGGCGCAAATGTGGTACACATTACCAAGGTGTTTGGAGTATTTGGATCGGATTTGCTGTGGCTGCATTGAGCAAGCTTCATTGATGGGAAACGGTTACTCATTGCAAACTAGCGTTGCCAGTTTAGGCGGAACGAAGAGATCGTGATAGATGGACCTGAATGAAACATCTGCAATGACTCAAGAAGCTTGAAACTGTCTCCTCCCCCATATGCCAAGTGACGGAAGCCGTCTGTCAGTCTGCAACATCCCGGGTTACCGCCGGCTGTTAAATTGCAGCATGGGTCACTGACTGATTTAGCCTCCCGCGAGAAACAAGCAACCTTGGCTCATTTCGAGGCTCTGGCTCAATAAGCTTCTTTTTTGCTGCTTACGCGCCTACGAATACCATCTGTGCACTCACGGTTGCGGTTTCAAAGGATTCGGAGTGGTGGGCGGTGGACGATTGGAGAGCTGCTGTGAGGCTCGGCCGAGGGCCTCGTACGAGCTGGAAGGGGCACCACGGCGATTGGTCCAACGGTGAGTGTTGTTTGTCTGTGTGTGTGCCCTGGATGTGAGAATATGGTTGGGTGGGTGGGTGAAGGTTGTTGTGTCGGCAAGCTCGAGAGTTGAGCAAGAGTAAGCGAGGGAGAAGAGGATGCTTAGCATGAGCGGTTAAGCCAGCGGGAGAGAAAATCCCAGTTCCTACTAAGAGCCATCCGAGAGGGGAAATGTGTTCATCAAACCATGAAAGAAGCTTAGCCATGCATGTCATTTGGGTGTTTTTGTCTCCTCTTGGGATAAGGTACGGTATGGGAGGGGAGGGGATGACGACGATGTGTAGGTGTAGTTGTTTGGACCAGATTCCCGACGGGCGTCCCCCCCCCCCCCCCCTTTTCTCCCTTCATTCTCTTCAAGACCTATATTATCTCCAGTATTGTTCACGATGTTTACTTTGGGACAGAGGCAGTAATTTGGGGCTTGAGATACGAAAGCCTTCTTCATGACTTTTACTGGCTAGTTGAAGGTTGTGAGATAGGATTGGCGGTTGATATTTCATTCCTGATTGGATCTCACAATTTAAATCATCAGTCTTGGTTTGGAGTTCTTGATGTCTCCCGTTTTCGTCTTGGTCACTTTTTGACTACGGCATGCACTATTCGTGTCCGGCGAGCGCCGCCATGGTTCATCGTCATGGTCATGATCCGTCTTCCCAAGGCAAAGTGATTATCACCGTGCCCTACATGCCGTGATCTCCCCGATCACGTTGGGGAAGAATGACGACATGTACTCAGATACGATGGTCCGTCCCCTCTCGTGTGTCTCTTGATAATGGTGTTTCAACACGTGTGTGTCCAAGGGGACTCGCTTCTCGGAGAGACGGGAGGGGTATGCTAGAAGGGGGTCCGAAGATAGAGGAAGAAGCGGTTGAATCGCGATCCTGTTCAACTTACGAGACCCCTCAAATGGACTCTCTCTGCGGTATAGCGTACTTCTCCCTACACCCACGAATTCTTCGCCAAGTGATGTCAACGTCGGAACAGAAAAAGAGAGTTGACATGGGAGATTGGGGGAGATGCGAGTATTTCAGCGAGGTATAGTGAGGGTCTTCATATATTTGCGATCACAATCCTCGTCCAGCCTAGGAAATATCCGGGTATGTTCCCACGCCAGCCAGGCACCTACCCAGGCACCAGAAACGAGGTAATTAAAATTCTGAACCGTGGATGGAAGGGGTTGTATGGCCCGGTTGCTTATTATTCATACTCAATCGGCACCCAGTGGGATTGTGTAAGAAAGTAGTGGTGGGAGGGAGAGAAAAGGCTCAGATGAGGGGAGGGAGAGCGGAGGGTCTTACTGAGACCGCAGCATCTTGAACATGGGACGACGATGTATTATTGAGCGTGAATGTTGATTGTGTGTGTATACGTACGTACGCCCAAGAGAATTATAGAGAGGGGAGGGAGAGAGAGGTACGTAAGGCCAGGTACGGCTACGGGGAATGAGTTAAAGCTTCGGATGGTTGGAAGGGAGAGACGGGAATCCGATATCGAACCCGAAAGGTTGGGAAGGTTGGTTGTGTACGTGGTGGTGTGGTATGGTATGGTATGGCAGGCTTATCCAACGTGAAGGTGAAGGGGCCGAATGGTCAGGGGAAGAAAGGCGAAGCATGCTTTGGTGAGGCTCAACGTCGGATTTGCGGCTCCGTGTAAACAGCCTTACTTCCTGCAATGCCAATATTACTGCTACTCTGCTCGCGCGCGTAAACGGATGTATTGGTGAGGCATGCCTGCGAGTGGGAGTTCCGTAGATGGATTGTATGAGATGGCGTGGTGTACAGAATGCAACCACGTAACCTCATCCCCTCCATTCACCTATATCCCACGCATCGTTGATAGTGTTTTCGATCAAAGATTGAATTCCGAGTCTGACCATGTCCAAAGGCGTTACATTCCCTCGAACCTCCACCTTCTACCACTTCCCTACCCTGGACCTGACATCTTCCTCCTGATCATGCGTTCCCACATGTCCGCATCTATCACGACTCATGCCCGGAACAAGAAAGTCGAGACCACACCTCAAATTAAGCTTTTCGCTCACTCAAAGTAGCACCCACCCTATGGGCCGTGGGTTGTAAGTGGTCTGTCTACAGTCGTACGTAAACCTGCCCTGGTCTGATCACAAAAAAAAAAACCATCCCAACATTCTTCGGCGCGCGCGCGAGAGAGAGAGAAAGAGATCTGGCACGAGAAAAAGTCAACCACTACACCCCCAACGTCCAAACAAATTCTTAAATAGCGTTTTTCATGCCCTCCAGCCCAACCGTACCACCTAGCCAGCCATACCGGCCTCCAGCAGCTCAGCCTGCTTTCGGTCTGCCATCCCCCCTTTCGTGCTTCATCATCCAGCTTCCGAGGGCCCATTGATACCATTGAATTGTGTCACTACGTACGAGGTGGGAGAAGGGAAATCTCAAAAAGAGACTTTTGACGACACGGGGGGGAAGAAAGGGGGGTTACGTGTGTCTCGTCGGTCTTTTCTCTCCCGGCCGAGAAGAATCACTCGGAATGCTGTGGAGTTCCGGAATTCTATTTCGCTGGACAACTCACGAGATACTGAACTGGACCCTTTGTTCTGATGTAGTGATCACATGTCTCATTGGTAGTACTTATGAACAATACCATACTGTGATGACCAGTGATGCAAAGGAAACGAACAACACACACAAGGACAGAGTGAAGCATTTGTTCAAGTTTCTCAGAGCACTTCCGAGAACGGCAGAGCATATCTTTCCCACCTTTCAACGAGGGGAAACTTGCCCTACGGGTATTATCACAATAGAAATACAGTATCCCCGTCCCATCCCACACCAAAAAGGCCATATATAACGCCGTACCCAATACAGCAAGCGGCCTGATAAACGCCCGTGAACATTGTGGGCCTCGAAAGTCGAGCCCTGGCCCCATGTTTTGACTTTCCTCCTACCCTCCCTCTGAACTCCCCGTGTGTAGGTATGTGTGTATGTTGGTGTGTGCCTTGTTTCGGCCCACTCTCTCCGATCTGATCGGTCGGAGCCTATATTTGTTCAGGGCGCAGGAACAAACCGTCCGATGAAAATCCTCAAATAGCCGTGGCTTTTTCGTTCCCGTAAAGTTTTTTCTGTTCTGCTCAACTACTCAGGCGGGCCTCTCATAGAGTTTGTCCTTACTCAGACAACGGTCGCAACCGAAGCGGCAGCGGGTTGTGTTGCAGACTCGGTGACGGCCAAGTTCACTTCCTTGTCCTGGGTGGGTTGAACTTGGCCTGCTGGTTGCGGCGCTTGCGGCTGGGCTGGCGGCGGCGGCGGCTGCTGGGTCTGCGGCTGCGTCTGTGCCTGCCCCGCCGACGGTAACGGTGAGGGCACCGTCGCGGCATCCGTCTTGGCTGTCGGCTGATCCACCACCCCCTCCTGAGCAGGTAGTGTCGTCTTGGCATCATTGGGTTCCTGCTTCTCGGTGCCTTCCCCGACGGCGCCGTTGCCTTTCTCTGCTTCTGTCTCTGGAACCTTAGCCTCCTCCTTTTCCACCTCCTTCTTCTTTGGCTGTCTTGGCGGACCTCCCTTGAGGAACCGCTCCGGCACCCCGCGAGCGGCATATGTGCAGCTGCCGACCCATGCGCCGAGCAGGCTGCTCCACTTGTACTCGCCGCGGCGGAGTCGTTGAATTTCGCGGTACGCGTAGGCGTTGAAATAAGGTAAACCCGTCTCGGGGTCGCGGTAGCGAGCGGGGTGGGCGGTAATGACACATACTGGCCGGGGCGCTGGCTTTGCAAGGCGGTCCATTCGCCGTCCAAAGAGAATCTGGGTCTGTACAGTCTTGTCACGCACACGCTCTTCGTCAAAGTTGCGAAGAATAAAGGCGTTGCGAGCAACCTCGCTCGGGGGAGGCTCCTCAGGCGCCGGTGCTTCTGCCGGCGCAGGCGTAGTCGCAGGCCGTGCGGGACGAGAGGGATCGACCGTCGGTTGTGATGGAGGCTTCGGCGGAGCGATTGGTTGTGACGGCTGGAGTGGTGCTAGTGAAGGTGGCGGCGGCGGCGGTCTTGCTGATGGTGGAGGGGGAGGAGCCGGCATGGATAGAGGAGACTTGTGCTGGCATACATTCGGAGGCGCCAGAACATTGGACTTTGGCTGCGTCGTGTGTTGAGCAAGGTGGATGCCACCCAAGGGAGGGGCAAGAACAGGCGGCGCGAGCACTGGAGCTGCCAATACCGATGTCTTTGGAGGTGGCGGAATAGGGGGTGGAGCCATGGACATGGAGCCAAAGGTCGGCGGTGGTGGTATTGATGGTGGTGCCATGATCCTGGATTTGTCTTCAGGCTTGGGCATGGCGAGTGACGACGATGGCGGTGGAGGAATGGGTGGGGGAGCCATCACACGGGGGCGCTCTTCCGTCTTCACTATCGGTGCAGGGTCTGTTGGGACGGGCGGAACGGGTGTCGATGGCGACGGTGCCTTTGAAGCATCGTTCTGCTGAGGTTGGTCGACATCCATTGACGTCGGGGGAGCTGGCGGAGCGTCAGGCTTTGCGTTCGACTGTGCCTCTGCTGTCGTCTCTGTCGTCGGTGCAGGCAGCGTCGGCTCAGAAGCATTCGACGCTGAGCCCTCCTCCCTGCCATCTTTCTGGTCCTTCTCCTTGCCCTTCGTCTTATCCACCTTTTCCTTCTTCTCCCTCTTCTTCCGAACGGGCTTCTCTTCCTCGGCGACCCTGCCAACGTGCTTCAGATGATGCTCCCACTCACCAATGCCGCTCCAGTACGTCACCACAGGGCCCTTAAGTGTTCGGTTGTTGAGAGCGGCGAGCTTCGCAAGCCGTTCTTCTTCTCGCGCTTTTTCGGCCACCTCCCATCTATTTAACGACTTTGCGTTGCGCTTCTCCACGAGGGCCGCCTCAGCCAACCGTTCCGCCTGTGTCATGGGCGGTTTCTTGGACGCCTCGAGCTTCTTTGCCTTCTTTTCCATGATGGCCACCTGTTTCAACCGCTTCGCCTCGCGTTCCTTCATCTGTTGGTGCAGCTGCTCCTTGCTGAGCATCGTCGTCTGGCGGAGCGAGGCGCGGATAGGCATGTCAGCCGCCGAGGGCAGCCAGCTCGTCCGTTCCGACTTCTTTTTCGGCCGCGGCGCGGGTGCGGCCGTCTGTTCGATGCGGACCTTTTTTCTGAACTTGGCCGGGATAGCTTCCTGGGCCTTGCGTTTCCGCGACGCTAGCTTCTTCTCCCTGGCTTGCTTCTCGAGCTCCTTTTCGCCCTCAAGGTCGTCTCCCTGCTGCTGGTCATCCTCGTCGTCGGATGACGAGTCCATCTGCACGTCGGAACCAGCATCGTCGACATCGCTGAAGCCTTCGTCGTTGTCGTCTTCGGCAAAAAGCAGTTCGAGGTCTGAATCGGGTTCTTCGTTGGCGAGCATCGACTTCATGCGGTTACCGGCGGTAGACCGCTTTTCTCGACCGGTCGCCAACCATTCTACTGTGGTCGGAGTGGCGACTGTCGGGGTCTCATTTTCGCTGTCGCTGCCGCTCGAGTCCGAAGACTCATCGCGCGATGAAGGTTTGGTGTCGTTTGCCGTTGTAGCCATCGCGTCGGTCGAATTGAAAGGTGTGGATTTGGGCCCTTAGCCCATGTCTGCCGCGCTGTGAGAGGTGCGGCGTGTACAGCCGGCGGCCTGTTCGAGTGAAATGGGTTGCGTGGGGAGAATTTTGACGTTGAGGGTGGTAAAGTAGTGTCTGCGTGAGACGCGTCCAGAAGGGTAAAAAAAAAAAAATTGTAGATGTAGCGGACGTCGCGGCACTTGTGACGTCTGACAATTCGACTTTCCTAGAACCACCTTCCGGCAAGGTACCAATTACAAGCGAATCGGGAGTTAGCGGGCAGCGGGCAGCAACCAACGGCCCCAAGTCCCTCAGTGGGGCTTAGGGGGCGTTACCTCCGTGCGCCGTTACCCGATTTCTTGAGGCGACCGGCCACGGCTGCCTAAGGTAGGTAAGGTAAACCTGCCAACACCATATATGTCAACTTATCATTGCAGATGAGACCCTGATATGATGTTCTATATTCCGAGCTTGTTTGCATAGTTTCCTATGACTTGTAATTGCTAATCTGTGGCTGGCATTGCGCGCTACTATGTGTACTCCGTTCCCATGACCAAACGCCGCCTGTTAATTCATGTAATGCTCCCGCATCCCTTTCAACCCAAAAGTACAGGTAAATCTGGACCTATGCAAATCACATCTCCTCACTCCAGCTCTCGCCCGCCTGGGTCCATTCTTTACACCATCCGAACCAGTACCTCTTATTGCAGCGAGGATCTGAAGGGGGTGCTTTGGTGGGCGCTGATGTCGGGGTGGCCGTGGGCGCGGCAGTGATGGTGTGAGACGGGGTTGCGCCGGGGAACAAAGTCGTGCTCGTGGTCGATGTAGTCTTGTCCTTGCAGCCAAACCATCCAGGTGTCTTGCAAGTAGTCGTCGTTGTTGTAGTCGTAGTTGAAGACGAAGTGGTCGTAGTCGTGGTCGTCTCGTCCTTACATCCAAACCAGCCAGGGGTCTTACAAGTGGACGTGGTCGACGTGGAAGTAGTAGTGGTAACCGGCGTCGTCGTGGTCTCATCCAAGCAACCCCACCAGCCCGGCGTCTGGCAGGTGGCTGTCCGAGTACGCGTCTTCGATGTTGTCGAGGACTTGGACGTCGTGGTCGATTCGGTCCCGTTGCTCTCATACATTTTCCAGTTGGCACAGTCGCGGCATTCGGGCGTAGCCTTGCACTCTGGGACCGTGTCATACTTCATAATGACATCGTGGATAACAGATCGGATCTTGTGGGTTCCGATGCCGACTCTCCATCCCTTGTCGGCCACAACGTCATAAACGCACTCAAGTCCAGAATGGCAGGCCGATTCCATGGCATACCCAGCAAAGGAGCACGTCGCAGTAGCACCATTACAGGTCCCAATGTAGATGGGGTCTGCCGTGTGACCAAAATGGAAGGCGCCGGTATCTGTGCGAGCCTGGTGAAGCATCTGATCGTATCCTGGAGGAACAGGCAGTCCCAGTCTGCTGGCGGCGAGCGCCTCTGGCACGGCCTCAAAGGTCACGACGGGAATACCGTAGGTCAGGCCCAGGAGGGAGCTGACTGCGCCCCCGAGAGAATGGCCCGACAGCCAGATGTTGGAGTCGGGGAACAGCTCGGTAACGTTCGAGTACAGTTCCTTGGCCGCCGTGTAGTATCGGTGCTCGTCTTTGAGCGCTTGCACTACGCAGGTGTTGTTGCATGAGTAGGTGGATGTGGCGCAGTCGCACACTTGATGCCAGGTCCACTGCCCCTGCTGAGCACAACAGCAGCTGAAGAAGAGGTTGTCATTGACCTTGTCGTTGGTGGTGGTTCCCTCTCCGTCAAAGATGGCCGTAGAAGTTCCCTTGAGGCCAATAACAATAGTCGAGTTCGTCTCGTCCGCCCAGATGTGCCCCCGGAGTCCGTCACCCTCCCATCCGAAATCAGCGCTCCTATTGTAGCCGCTGCCGACCTCTTCCCAGTCCGCCTTGCCCTCCTCTTCAATGTAAGCGTTTGCAGCCATGATGGCAAGGCTGATAACCGTGGCCTTGTCCGTGACGTTGGGTCCGGGGACCTCGTCGGTAGTCCAATCGGATGGCGACATGATGTTGACATAGCCGCGCTGACGAGCTTCGGTGACCATGGGATCAACGACAGACGGCCGACGATCAACCATGCGCTCGATCTTGAGAGGCGTGCTCTGGGCCTTCAGAGGCATCACCCTTTCCCTCTTGTATCCGTCCTCCTCCGCCAGCCAGACCTGGTTATCGGCGCCGTCGGAGTGGCGGACATCCTTGCGTCGGTGCAGCTGA